GAGTTCATACGGCACACAGTGTATCTGGCTCCTTTCATTTGTGCAACACTGGGAGATTCAGCCCCGTGTCACAGTGGCTGAATCTCCCAGTAACAGTTTATTTCAGTTATATAAACCATATAATCCATCGTTCATTCTCAGAGAACCTTCCATACTTATCTTGATATTTCACTTCATAGACATTTAGAGTAGAAATAGGTTCAGAGCTCTTCAGCCTCTGCTTATCAGGCAGTCAGAACCTGTATTGTTCTCAGCCAATGCTAGGAGCAAGGTCTCATTTCCAGTGCTGACTTTGCCAGTTCCCTTCTGTCACAGAGTGAACGTGTCTCCTCCCTGCCCTCATCTCGAGGTTGAAGCCTAATTCCAATTGGGATCTATGTGGAAGTGGACAGTAAGGAATGAGGGCTGCGGGGATGCAAACTTTGTAACGCTTGCTGCCCTTCTCAGAAGAGACCTGCACCATCTCAGAACACAAGAAAGCCAGTCTGCACATCAGGAAGTGCTCCCACCAGCAACCCTACATGCCAAGCTTCCAAAACCAGACATTATGTCACTCCATCTCGGATACTGTTGTCCAGCCTGAACTGAGATGCTGCCTAACTTTGACTTTTGTAATTATCACTTGGTGTAAGTGTGAGAAGGCTGGAGAGATGGCTCAGGGGATAAAAGCACTGACTGCTGCTCTTCCAGAGGACCCAGGTTCAGTTCTCAGTACCCACAACCATCCATAACCCCGGTTCCAGGGGATCCAATGTCCTTTTCTGGCCTCCACAGGTATTGCACATACATCTACCTTTCTTCTGCAGGATTTCAGGTTCCCAATAAACTTCCTACCAACCATACCGAAACCTAGACTTATGTGACACCTTTTTCTAGGAGGCAGGGGTATAAGAGGCCAAGGTATACTGTTTCTGAGAAGAAAGAGGCATGCTGGAACCAGGAGGAAATCCCCTCATCAGCACAAGGTGTGTGACTGGTAGATTAGAAACAGGTAAGTCAGTGTTCTAAGTGGAAATCTGAGTCTAGCCTTGGTTGTATTTTTATTTATTCTGAAAATTTCACATATGCACACGACTTAACCCTATCTCCCCCTCCTTCCTTCCCCCCAGTGCTCCTATCACATCTCCCTCCCAGCTTTCTGTATCCATACACTTTCTGTTGGTGATTGTAATGCCTACGTGTGGAGTTCTTGAGCTGCGCCTGCTTCCTGCCTGCCCAGAGCTTTATTTACTCTCATCATCTGGATTCTTAGTTCGCTAAGGTAGACATCATTATCTTCAATTTATAGAAAGGGAGGTTATATTTCCCCCTGCATGCTACTTATGCTGCCTGTCAGCACAAACTAAATCCTTGCCAAGGGTGTCAACTAGAACCTGACTGTTGAAGGTCTAACCTCCAACGGTGGCTGCTCTGTACCGCTAGTACCTCACATTGTTTTGTTTGCATAAAGTAACACTGCCCTCCCAACGTCATGTCTTTTTGTTTTTTAACCCACTGAGTCCCATTAGTGCTGCCTGAAGGATAAATGCCTGGACTTAAGAGGGCCCCATAGTGGGTTAAATAAACCTCAGATGCAAGCTAATTTCTAACCCAGACTGTGTAAAACCCCCAGCCTGGGAACAATGTTATCTGGGGAAAAACAAATGTCAGTCCCTATGGTCTCAAACCTCCAAATCGTGTCACCGGGACTTACACTGATGCCCTTTCCCAATCCCCCAACCCTTATAAGCAGCCCACCAACTGTACTGGGTGGTGCAGTTTCAAATCCTGCTGAGAAACTGTTGCTACCTTCACTGTTCTTAATAAAGAACAATCTGCTCCTGAGGTTGGTCTCATCTTTCCTTTGCACATTACCCTGGTTAATTCTGATCTAACATTTTCTAACACTGCCCATATGTAGGGGAACCTACTGGTGACCTCCCCCCAGCCGGTGCTCTCCTTCCCCTAACATCCAGCCATCAACTGCCAATAGTTCCTCAGCTAGGAGTGGATCCTAAGAAGTCCCAGTTCACACTGGGATTTTCAACTGACTTGGGCTTGCAGGTAACCACAGCTGCCTTGCGTTCCTGTGTGCGCCAGCTATATCATGTGCAGACAGCATTTCACAGCACTCCTCCCCATCCTCTGGCCCTTACATTCTTCTTCCCACACCTCTTCCACAATGTTTCCTGAACCTTGGGGTGTGTGTGGCGGGGGTTGATACAGATGTCCTGTCTACAGCCGAGCACTCAGTCACTTATTCTTAACATGCGGAACACTAATTAGTCTCTGCATTAACCACTACCCACTGCAGAGAAGGTTCTCTGACCAAGGTTGGGGGCAGCACAAACCTATGCATATAAATATTATAATTTAGAAGGCTGACAGCATGACCATTTAGAAAAACACCACAGGTTCTCACTTTGAGCCCATGGACTAATTTTACAGTAGCAGGCATGAATTTCTCCTGTAAAACAGGTTTCAAATGCAATCAAGACAACAGTTAAGTTATCCCTATAAAGTCTTGCCACTATTGTTATCAGTGGATGCATCTTGCCTGGCAGGCTGGTATTGTAGCCTGTAGGATCCAGCATGGGGTAAGACCACTGATCTCATTTCTCCCCCAGCAACTTGCACTGCATCTTCCAGCACTGTGAAGCTACTCAGCAGACAGTTTCCTATTGAGTTCAAGATGGATTTTTCTGTGTCCTGCAACCCAAACCAATGTAACAGCCTACATTGTGTTGAGGGCTCTGGGGCTCCTCTGACCAGTAACTTGTAGGCACCAAGATTTTGTTTAATAACCCAATGCCTCTGGGAGCAGCACTGTTCACTAACTGGAGTACTTCTGTGGAAACTCATTTTTAACTGTATTTTAAATTCCCAGCAACTTGCACTGCATCTTCCAGCACTGTGAAGCTACTCAGCAGACAGAGTTTCCTATTGAGTTCAAGATGGATTTTTCTGTGTCCTGCAACCCAAACCAATGTAACAGCCTACATTGTGTTGAGGGCTCTGGGGCTCCTCTGACCAGTAACTTGTAGGCACCAAGATTTTGTTTAATAACCCAATGCCTCTGGGAGCAGCACTGTTCACTAACTGGAGTACTTCTGTGGAAACTCATTTTTAACTGTATTTTAAATTAGTATACAAACTAGTGGGGTTTCCTAAGGCTTCTTCACCCATTTTACCAAAGACAAAGCACCTTTTGTTCAATTCAGTGCTTACAGCTCTGCTTCCCAAACCCTGAGTTCTGTGAACTCATGGTAAAGCTCACAAATGCTGTAGGACTTACCTACTGTCTGGGATTGGGAGGGGTTGACATTTGCCTGGTTTAAAATTTAGCAAGAGAAAAATCTAGACCAGTATCAAAGGCAAGTGTTGAAGTTTTAAGCTGACGTGTCTGTAACTTGGATATGAAGTGGTAATAAATCTTATTATTATTACCTGGGAGCTTGTTAGCAATGCAGAAATGTAGAGTCCATTCCAGACTACACAGAATACAGTGTAAGTACTGCCTGGGATCAGGTGGCTAGAGGAGTTACAGCTCCAAGAGTACTGCAGAGAGGAAGGGAGGGAAGCCCCCTTACGGGCAAACTCCTCCACTGCTATGCCTTCCAGATGTCCTTTCCTTTATTTTCAGCCAAAACTGTATGACAAAAGAGAAGCATGCCAGGAGGTATTGCTGCTATTTTAGCCTTTCAGTGTTGAAAGGCTAATGTTGTGTGCCACGATTTTGAGCTAAAGCACACCCAAAAATGCACCTGCCATTTTCTTAAATGATAACCTTAAACTGAACGAGCTCAGGAACACCCATGAAGTTCCTTTCCTTCAAGAGTATGTGTCAGCTCCCTGAATGTAGTTCCCAAACCTTCCTTTGCTTGAAGAGGGAGCTGCTTTGGAAATGATGTCACTGCTCCAGTTAGTCAGTCTTTCCTCCTCTATGTCTAGGCTGCACTTGCCTTGGCTTCGCATTCACGCAGAGGTGGACCCACTGTATGGGTCACAGAAGCACACCACATGAACTGCGGGGGAGGGCAGGGGGCATAAGGTGTGGGTACTGACCAAGCAACAGGCGGAAAGCAGTTCTCTGCAAGATTTGCTGGCTCATCATTCAAGTCACCACTGGCCCAGCATGGAGCTGTCAGGGTGGAAGAAAAATTCATGTTTGGAGGCGAAGGAGGATAATCAGTCACACTTGAAGGCCTTTGTTAGTCACAGGGCTGAGAGCTGGCTACTAAGGGAGACAAGTCTGTGTGTCTTTATCACTAGGCTTCTGAGAGCACTGGAGCACTATAATGATGAAACAGCCCATAACCTGGCCTAATTAAAGACCTTACAACCATTCTTTCAGTTGCAGAATTCATACATAGTCACCAGTTTTTTAGTACTAATCACATTCTTTTATTTCCTCATACCACAAACATTTTATCCTTTTACAACCTGATTTACACAAGAGAATTGCAGTGGAAAAAAAAGATATTAAGTTTCCAAAATGTATGAAATATAGAACCAACCCTAGTACTGAAACATGAGAGTTTAAAGCTGAAGCAGCATTATTGCGATCTTTCAAAATTAGCATTAGTTTAAATATTTATATCTGTAAAGGTTGCATAATCTATAGTACAGTCATTTCAGAAGCAGTTAAGATTTAGTTAACTAATAAAAAAATTTTCAAACAATGTTATAACAATTAGATGAAACATAAAATTATTTACAATCAAACAAATAGGGTCCTGATTCATAAAAATAGTGCATTTCATGATTTGTGAGATTTATAGAGAAAGCAGGTAGAATGCAGAACACTCCCAGGTAAAGTCTGGAATGAATGGCTTTTAGAGGACAGCCCCTCAATATGCTTGCTGGCAACTACAGAGGGAGTATGCAAACCTATTCTACTTGGAAAAGAAGCATCACAGATAAGTTGCCTCATCCCTGACGGGCTTCAATGCATTCCAGTGATTTTGCATACACAGCAAAGGAGGTGACAGGAAAACAGTTAAGAAAAAGCATTTTTAAAGTAAAGTGAAAAATTTCAGTGAATCAGGTCCCAGGTAGCATTTAAAAGAAGATTTACAGTAAACATTTAAAACTCCGGAATGCAGGTATTGTACATTACATTTACAAACTGCTTATAGACAGTTGCTCCAGAGTAAGAATTTAAAAATGTACAAGCCAGTTTGCAATGACTTTCGATATGTTATTAAAATACATTGTTAATCATAAAAATACTTTAGTATGTACATGTACAAACGGATTCACCTACTGAAGTAAGCTAACCACGCCCTGGCCTATCATTTGGTCTTCACACCCACCGGTGGCCGAGTCAGCACGGGTTCAGCCCTTCAGTGGTACACGCCTCTGTGCAGAGCGTCTAGCTGGAAGAGTCAATTTTTCCTCCACCATACTTTGCTTTTCTAAATCCTGATCCTAGTAACTCTGGACATTCACATAATTCATTTGCAATTTGGTTACATTTCAAAATAAGACTATAGTTCATTTTGTCAGTTATTACACTGTCTTGCTTGTAGTCAGGATGGTTTGCAATAAACTCTCGCATCCATCTAGCAACTGTCATTAGTTCTCCTGAAAAAAAAGTGATGTTTTAAAAACTCAGTTGGTATTTGTTGACTAGAGTACACAGGACCCTAAAATGAGATGAGTATAACCTGCTGGGGACTGAAGCACAGCTTTCACAGTGCTCAAAGGATTCCTCCTGGGAGGAAGGGCAGGATGCAGGCAAGAAGCGAGCACACACACCAGTGAGACGCTCGCTTGGTGACACTGCTGGTTTTTAAAGGACAGGAGCCAGCATCTATGTAGCAGAGCATATGTCCTCCCACTTGACCAGAGGGCTGAGACTACAGATGATGCTGTTATAAGACTTCTTCAAGAGACTATAGGGTGCTTACAGTGATCTTTCAAGTAAAAAGCAGACAGAATAAATATTAAGTACAGGGACTAAAGAGGGAAGCTGTCAACACCATTTTGGAGGCAATTAGAGATTTTACAGATGCCCTTTATTCAGATGTCATTAGCAATATCACCGAGACTTTAATCAACAGCTCCCAGTGTGGGTACTTGTGAGATTTCCTCAAAGCTAACAAAGAACAGGGTTCTCAGGAGGTTTACTGTACAAGAAATGGCTGAGAACTAGATACATGCTGACTATGTAGCCTGGTAAGGCTGCAGTTACTTAGCCTAACAAAAGCCCATGATGACGTGCAATGGACACAGCTGGACATAAACGACACCAGATCGATGTAGCCACACGTTTCAGAGATGCCACACTTAAAATGCACCACTATTTCATAAACCAGTTGGGAAAACAGCTCTATCAACTTAGACTGTGATTATAAGATCATAAGCTGTATTTAACTGCAGAATTATTTAAGATGTGGAGAAAAATGTGCATGGTCAAATGGATCAGAATAAGAAAAAGAAAAAAAAAATCACTATACCAGACGCTCTTTTCTTTATCAGCTTTAGGTAGTTCAGGATACTGCATCTGGTGTCCACATCTACTTCCATGTTCTCCAGGTAAGAGTTCAGAATGGGAATGAGTCCAGGAAACACGCCTTCCTGCAAGAAGGGCACATGATAAAGGCCCCTGCCAGCTGGAGCCACAATGAGCGGCACTGAGCAGCCCTACCTTCCCGTTGATGATGGTGTCTATGCTCATGAGGGTGTACTCCTCTGCGGCCAGCTCTGAGCTCATCTGGGCCTTACCACATCCATCCACCACAGCGTTGCCACCTGCCAACCAAAGAGTGCACGAGGGAGCTTCAGCAGCTTGCACGGCGTAAACTGACCCTAAAAACCTAAGAGCGTGCAGTACCTTTGCAGATATCCTTCCTGAAATAAAACAGCCCCTGCAAGACAGCGTCCCGCTTCTGTGCCACTTTCATGTTTTCATCAACCTAAAGGAGAAGGGAATCAGGACTAAATCAAGACATTCTTGGATCAAACAGAACTCAGTGCCTTCCTTACTTCTTTTAGAATTCTTTTCCCTTCAATCCTTCGTGGGTTGGAAAAATAGCCTTTATATGCGGCTTCTGTTACCCATCACAGATTGGTTTGTGCATTAATGATGGGAAATTAAGAGACACTTAAAAAACAAAACCAAGTAGAAAATGCACCTTCTTCACCAATCTGGAGGAAAGCTAAATTCATCTGGTAAGAGGCAGCTAAGGAATCACCTTTCCTGGCACTATGGCTCAGAGGTCTTGAAGCAGGGAGAGGCTTGAGCACTGTGCCTCCTCTCCTTTCCCTGCCTCATTTAAGCTGGTAAAAGGGCAATAGGCTGTTAGGTCCACAGCAGGAGAAGGCCCAACAAGGGCAGAGCCACCGATGCTGCTTGCTACCAGGTAGCTCGTTCATGAACCAGTTAATTTGTTCACTCGTGAATTCTCAATTTTGCAATAACCTTTTAAGATCTTTAAGGCAGACCTTCTAAAGTGTTTTAGTAACCTCCATTTTCTATAATGTTATCTTATGTGGAGCTTCAATACATAAAATAGACACAAGTTGAAGGGCCAAGGTGGAAGCCAGAGTTGACACTGGGATGTCCTTCTCAATTGCTTCATTTTGCTTTTTGAGAGTCTCTCACAGAACCTGGAGCTCTCAAGTTTCTGCTAGACTGGCTGGCCAGTGAGCCTCAGACCCAACTGTCTCCACCCACAGCCCTGGGGTTACAGTAGTGGTGGGTGCTAGGGGTCTAAAGTCAGGTCCTCATGCTCCACTTTATCCCCTGGACCATTTCCTCTGCCTGGTTTCAACCCCCTCCCCCCACCCACCCCCATACTCACTATGGAGAGAATCCCATTGTTATCTATTTCGTTTTTTTAAAAAATATATTTTATTATTTTATTTTTATGTATATGTGTGTATTGCCTGAGGGCCTTCTGACTATCTAGGCACTTTTTAGGAACATATTCAAATAATAGGCTAAAATGCAACCATGGCTGTGGGCATCTCTAAGGCTTTTGTGTCTTATGGTATTTGGTTTTTCCTAATCTTGAGCCATTAACATTCCTGTACCATTAATTTTTCTACCCATCATTCATTCTAGTTTTGGCTTAAACTCTAAGATCTATTAGGAAAGATACTTTACACTTGAATAGTTAATCTTTTTGTGAGCACCGTTTTGTGAAATTTTGGTGGGAATGCATTTCAGACAGTGTTTGCCTTTGAGAAATGACTCTCCTTGGTTGTTTTTGTAAATCATCAAGGTATCTGAACAAAGGATGCTCTGTCATGACGTATCTGATTTAGGCTATACAAGCAAACTTGTTAACCATGTCATTTTCCTGCACACAGACAGTAGGTGCATGGAGGCAAATCACTTAAGACTCCTACATGTTACACAGGTTGGAAAGTCACAGCTAATTTACTACTTTCCAGCTAGTGCTTATAAATTTAGTTCAAATCACAGCCTTTCCTACCTACCACATTAAATTCTCCTCATGCTAAGAAGTACCACTCACTTTATGGTACAAAAAGAGCCAGTGCCAATACATCGCAGACAAGTGTTCTACACTGCTACCAGTAATCCACTGAACACTCGCTACCCTCCCTTTTATTTTGTCTGGTATTACTTTATCATTCCTGTTATCTTTTAAAAGGTACCTCTTTATTCTCAACATTTGCCGGAGTTGGGTATGCCTTATATAAGCAACATATATTAGAATACTTCAATTTGAGGCCATCTGTTTTCTTAAAAACTTTTACATTTATTTACTGGTGTGTGTGTGTGTGTGTGTGTGTGTGTGTGTGTGTGTGTACACAATTTGTA